AAAATAGATATACATTCAATAGAAACCATGCTTTGAGTACCCGTACAGCCATTCTGTTTTTCAGTTTCATTACAGTATTCAGTAAATTACGTGAGATATTCCACAGTTTATTATAAAATAGGCTTTGTGTAAGAGGATTTTGCCCAATGGTAGGTTATTGTGTTCCAAGCACATTTTAGCTAAGCCGTGCTAAGCTCTGATGTTTTGTGGGGTAGGTGTATGTATAGTAAACGCACTTTTGACTTACAATATTTTCAACTCTTGATAGTTATATCTGCAGGTAGCTCCATCATCAGTTGATGAGGAGCGTCTGTGTTGGATCACTGACATATACAGATTTCCCAAATGTTGACACATACAGATTATAAAGATAAACTTTTTTAAATAACACCGCTGATCTCATTAGAAGAGTCTTAAGTATTGGGATGTGGTCAACCTTATCCATGATGTATTTAAATTTCAGAATTCAGCTTTGGCAACAAATACAGTTTGTAGTTTTCCTTCAAGTGACAGGTTCATTTCAGTCATTTTGGAGAAAACATCTGCCAAATAATTCAAGTCTGAATAATTTATCAATCTTTCTTCCAATAACAAAAGCAGTTCAACTTACAGCTGAAATAGTGATAAAAGTACTTTTCTTTAAGATAACCCGTCATTCTGTAAGGAGCCAAAGGCACTTTATATGTACATCCCATTTGTTTTCTGAAGAGCAGTCCATGCAAATTACTTATGCTGAAATAGCTTAAGACTAGGAGGGAAAAACCCTGGAATTTCCTATTCACTTTCTTATCAGGATTCAGAAGGAAGTAGCAACTAATACAAATGGTGAAGAGAGGGTACTGAGACCTGAAAACAATGGAAAGATGAAAATTGAATCACTAAATTAAAAACAGTGAAAAACAGTTGATGTTATACTGAAAATCTAATGACATTAAACCCAGGTGCTTGCAACCTATTTAGCATTGTTCTAGAAATTCTAATCAATGCATAAAGAAGTGGTTTAGAAGTAAAAAATATACCTATTGCAAATAAAGAGGGAAAATTAATATAGAGATACTTATAAACATTTACAAAATACAAGATAATTAATGGGAAAATAAGTTTATTAAGGCGGTTATATGAATAGAATATTCATAGTTTTTCTAAACACTGTGTTATACTGTGTTTGCATTGCTCTAAAGGAATACCTGAGACTGGGTAATTTATAAAGAAAAGAGGTTTAATTGGCTTACAGTTCTGTAGGCTTTACAGAAAGCATGGTGCTGGCATCTGCTTCTGATGAGGCCTCAGGAAGGTAACAGTCACGGTGGAAGGCCGTAGAGAACTAGCATGTCACATGGCAACGGCAGGAGAGAGATGGGGATAGTGAGAGACAGGAGAATGACTAGGAAGTGCTACACTCTTTAAAACAACCAGATCTCACATGAGCTGTAGAGAAAGAGTGACTAGGAAGTGCTACACTCTTTAAGAGAGCCAAATCTCGCATGACCCCACAGCGAGAAGGCTGTCATTACCATGGGGAGGGCACCAAGGCATTCATGAGGGATCCACCTCTATGATCCAAACACCTCCCATCAGGCCTCATCTCCAGCACTGGGGTTATGTGGTGTTTTTTTGGGACAGGGTCTCACTCTGTCACTTAGGCTGGAGTGCTATGGCACGGTCATAGCTTGCTGCAGCCTCTACCTCCCGGGCTTAATTGATCTTCAGCCTCCCAAGTAGCTGGGACTACGAGCACATGCCACCATGCTTGGCAGATTTTTCTATTTTTTTGTAGAGACTGAGTCTCACAGTGTTACCCGGGCTGGTCTCAAACTCCTGGGCTTAAGCAGTCCACCCAAATTGGCCTTCCAGATTGCTGGGATTATAGGTACGAGCTGCCATGCCTGGCCCGGGGATTACATTTTAGCATGAGATTTAGAGGGGACAGATATCCCAATCATATCATCAACCATATCTAGAAAATGTAATTTTACCAAAAAGTAACTAATTCACTATAGCAACAAAAAAACAGTATAAGATGTCCGGGAACACTTTCATCGGGAAGCACACTGAACCTCTATGAAGAAATCTTTAGGACTTTGTTCAGAGGTATAAGAATTACCTGGTCTATGTTATCAGACGTAAATATGGAATATAGTTAAAATGCCATTTCTTCCCAAATCATGCTTAAAGCACTTCTATTCACAGCAAGATCATTTTGAAACTTTACAGATATAAGTTCTACTCTGTTTTGAAGCAAAATGCATACTTCCAAACCTGTTCCACCCACATTCTTCACTCTCATCATTAGCAGAACTGTCCTTCCAGTTTTTCAGGTCAAAAGTCTTAAGGGTCACCCATGACTACTTTCTCACTCCCCAAATCTATCTACTTTGTCTGGAAAAAGAAAAGAGTCCAGGCAGGGTGCGGTGGCTCAAGCCTGTAATCCCAGCACTTTGGGAGGCCGAGGCGGGTGGATCACGAGGTCAAGAGATCGAGACCATCCTGGCCAACATGGTGAAACCCCGTCTCTACTAAAAATACAAAAAGTTAGCTGGGCGTGGTGGTGCGTGCCTGTAATCCCAGCTACTCAGGAGGCTGAGGCAGGAGAATTGCCTGAACCCAGGAGGCGGAGGTTGCGGTGAGCCGAGATGGCGCCATTGCACTCCAGCCTGGGTAACAAGAGTGAAACTCCGCCTCAAAAAAAAAAAAAAAAAAAAAAAAAAAGAAAAGAGTCCAGAATCTAATCACTTCTCCCCATTTTTTTGTTCCCACTGAGCTCTCATTTTCTCTACCCTGGATTACTGCAATGTCCTGCTCACTGCTCTCCCTTGGTTTCCCTACAACCATAGTGATTCTTTCAAAACATGAGTCAAATAATATATTCCTTAGAGTAAAAGTCCAAGTCCTAACGGAGGCCTAAAATAAGTTCTGCAGGCAAATCTTGTAAGGTCTATTTTTATCAATCTCGTGAGCTAAGAATGGTTTTTACATTTACAGAGTTGGTTAAAAAAGCAAACAAGTATATGAGGCAGAGACCTTATATGGCCTGCAAAGCTTAAAATATTTGCTATCTGCTCTTTTACATAAATGCCAACTCCTGCCCTGAACAATGAGGCCCATGACCTTAGTGGTCTTGTCTCCTAATGTTCTTCATCACATTGGTCTCCTTTCCTCACGCACTCCAGTCATACTCCTGCCTGCAGACCTTTGCATTTGGCTTTTTCCTTTGCCTGAAAGATTCTTTGCCTAGTGCTCTTTTTGGCTTGCCTCCTGTCTTTTTCAAGTCTTTGCTGAAATGCCACTTTTCACCCAGCCCGCTATATAAAAGCCAAGCCTATTCTGTGGCATTCCTCTTCCCCCTTATCTTGCTATATTTTCCTGGGCAGTATGCTTAATGATACTTGCTTACTGTTTTCCCCAGGTTAGACCATCAATCTTTCAAAGATGGCTCAACAAATAGGTGTATTTATTGAAAATGGAATAGAAAACAGAGTTTTTAATAACATGAAACACTGTCGTCTTGTACTCTTCTGAATTCTTAATATCTTATGTGAATTAGTTAAAACAAATATTGCTGGCCGGGTGCAGTGGCTCATGCCTGTAATCCTAGCACTTTGGGAGGCTGAGGAGGGTGGATCACCTGAGGTCAGGAGTTCAAGACCAGCCTGGCCAACATGGTGAAATCCCGTCTCTACTAAAAATAGAAAAATTAGCCAGGCATGGTGGTGGGTGCCTGTAATCCCAGCCACTTAAAAGGCTGAGGCAGGAGAATCGCTTGAACCCGGGAGGTGTAGGTTGCAGTGAGCCAACATCATGCCACTGCACTCCAGCCTGGGTGATAGAATGAGACTCCATCTCAAAAAAAAATACGCACACACACACACACACTGCTAAGACTAGTGTAATAGTTTATATATATTGAATTTGTGACTGAGGAGTGAGTACCATATTCTCTGGATTCTGTGATGGTGACCAAGTACTGTATTATATTTCTGTTCAGTGTTTCTGCCCACAGAATTAGTAAGATAAATGTCCTTACTCAAGAGATCTCTGCTAGTGGTATTGTCCATATAAGTTTATGTTCATCATCTTTCCCTATATTTAAGGATAATCGGGGATATTTTTCCTGATTAGATAAATAATCATACCTAATAGATGTGGTGATTGAATCACTGTGGGCTTGTTGACAGGGTTTTAGTTATTTATAGGATAACAGTTCTCAAGTCTAAGCTGACATTCATTATGATTGACTTATATGAAGAGAATTACAGGATTTAATTAGCCAAGTTTATGAATGACAAAAATTGGAGAATAGCAAATTCTATGAGTGCCTGAATTAGGCACCAAAAAAGGGTCAATTAGCTGGAGGTGGTGGGTCAGTGGTTAGAGGGAATATATAATATTAATTGATAAAACACTGTGCCAATAAAAGTATGGTCCTGTTCTCTATCTAAAAAACAGAACATATGTTAACAAAGAAAATAAAATCATTAAAAACGCTTGATTAATTTAAAAGAAGGCAGAAAATGGAGGAAGGGAATTAAATAACAGATGGGATATAGAAAACAAATAGATGATAGACTCAGATGTACTCTATCAATCACATTAAATATAAATGGTCTGAATAACCCATTTAAAAAGCAGAGATTGTCAGATTGGATGAAAAAATTCCTACTGTATGGTACCTATTAAAAAATGGACTTTGCAGGTAGCAACACAAATGGGTTAAAAGTAAAAAGAATGGAAAAAGATAAACGTTGTTAACACTCATCCGAAGAAAACTGGAGTGGCTCTACTAATAGCAGACAAAATAGACTTTGGAGCAATGAATATTACCAGGGATAAAGAAAGTCATTTTATGATAAAGTAGGGGTCAAATGTTCCAACAGATACAGTAATTCTAAACATTTATGCGCTTAATAACATATAGTGCATAATATATAGTAGACCACACAGACAACAGTGTGGTCAATAGCAGACCACACAGACAACAGTGGTTCCATAGATATAATACCATATTTTTGCTGTACCTTTTCTATGTTTAAATAAACAAATACTTGCCATTGTGTTCCAACTGCCTACAGCATTCAGTGTAGGTAACATGTTATATAGATTTGTAGCCCAGGGGCAACAGGCTGGAGAAAGTCGCCTAATGATGCATTTTTCGGAATGTGTCCCTGTTGTTAAGTAATATGTAACAGGACTTCAAGTTTCTAAGGATAGAGTCCATAATAACCTCTTAATAACAGAGCTTCAAAATAAAGCAAAATAAAACCTGATAGAACTGCAAGAAGTAGTCAAAGTCACAATTAATAGTTGGAGATTTCAGTACCCCACTCTCAAGAATTGATGGAACAAGCAGGCAGAAAATCAGCAAGGATTTTCTAGGTAGACCAGAATGATACTGTCAACCAACTTGACCTAATTGACATATATAGAACACTCAACAACTGTGGAACACACCTACACATTCTTTTGAAGTTCACATGGAAGATCTACCAAGGTAGACTATATTCTGTGTCAAAGAAAAAGGGCTCAGCACATTTTAAAGGATAAAGTCATACAATGGGTGTTCTATGACTGCAGTAGAATTCAATTAGAAATGAATAACAGAAAAATCCTTGGAAAAATCCCCAAATATTTAAGAACTAAATATCATACTTCTAGATAACTCATGGATCAAAGAAGATACCAGAAAGTAGTTTGAGGCCAGACACAGTGGCTCATGCCTGTAATCCCAGCACTTTGGGAGACTGAGGTGGGCAAATCACTTAAGCTCAGGAGTTTGACATTAGCCTGGCCAACATGGCAAAACCTCTTCTGTAGTAAAAATACAAAAAAATTGGGACGTGGTAGCATGTGCCTATAGTCCCAACTACTCGGGAGGCTGAGGTGGGAGGACTGCTTGAGCCCAGGGATGTTGGAGGCTGCAGTGAGCTGAGAGGTCGCACCATTGCACTCTAGCCTGACTGACAGAGTGAGACCCTGTCTCAAGAAAAAAGAAAGTAGTTTGAGTGAAATAAAAGCAAAAACACATTTCAGAATTAGTGGGATGCTGCTAGGCTTTACTCAGGGAAATTTCTAGCACTCAATATCTATTTTAAAATATATTTAAAAAGAAGAAAGTTCTGAGTTTCTACCTGAAAAACTAGAAAAAGAAGCGCAAATTAAATACAAAGGAAGCAGGAGTCTGGGTGTGGCAGAGCCTCCTAGATCAAGGCTCTGAGTTGAGAGGTGAAGTCCCTATGTCCCATGGGGTCAGGCATATTCATTCTAAACTATGGAGCCTGACTTTCACATATGATCAAATGATAACTTCAGTTTTAATTACACTTAATAAATTTTAAAAAATAAAACATTTAAGTTATAGGATCAACTTGTATAGTAACCAGTACTCCAAAGTTCACACCTAATGCTCACCTCACTAGTAACAATATCAGAACTAAACTGCTTCCCTCCCAGGGTGAGGACACAGGTAACCAGAATCACATGCCACATAACACCTCATCAATAGCAGACCACACAGACAACAGTGGTTCCATAGATATAATACCATATTTTTGCTGTACCTTTTCTATGTTTAAATAAACAAATACTTGCCATTGTGTTCCAACTGCCTACAGCATTCAGTGTAGGTAACATGTTATATAGATTTGTAGCCCAGGGGCAACAGGCTGGAGAAAGTCGCCTAATGATGCATTTTTCGGAATGTGTCCCTGTTGTTAAGTAATATGTAACAGGACTTCAAGTTTCTAAGGATAGAGTCCATAATAACCTCTTCAAGTAGCACTAAGACTGTGAGACTTTCCACTACCTGCTTTCCCATTAAAAAATAAAAGAGGGGGGGAAACAAGCAATTAGCAAGCCAAACATGAGTACGAATGGCCTTTTTAGAGATCACCAAAAGCTCTGGAGGTTTCCTTTAAACTCCCTTGACTTAAATCCAGTATTTCCACAGTACCTGTCAGTGCACTATGTCACTATAGGCAACTGTTGATAAAAAATAGTGATACAAAAGTACAGTTTCAGAAGACTCGAGAAGACAGCTCACATATCCATTAGTGCTTCTATACCACGTCCCTGAAGTACTCACAGCCTGTCCCAACATTCCTCCCCTGAACCCAAGCACTCAGTAGATCTAAACTGGCCTTACGTTAGGAAACACAAGGTGACAAGAAGGCTACTCCCAGATGGAGGGACAGGACCATCCTTGGTGAGATACAAGACTGGGCTGCCCGCTTCATTGTCCCCAATTTTTAGTAGTTAGTAGGAAGACTAACCTCAGTATCATAGAAAGCACACTTAAAGACAAACATAGTAACATAGTTGAAGTATAGAAATGGCCAAGTGTGCTGAGAGAGGAGTGACCAGGCTGACCCAGAAGTTCAAAACTCTCCTGTAAGGAACAGTTGAATGACCTGAAGATGGTGAGGTGCAGCCTCGGGAGAAGAGTTGAGCAGAGTAAGGTTGCAGGACAGAGGGAGTCACTGTAGTTCTTAGTCGTATGTATTTGGGAGACCATATCATATGACAGAAGGATTAGAACTGACAGTGGCAGGAGGTAGAATTCAGACCCATGAGTGGAAATAAAGCAAGAAGCCCAGTTTTGTCTTGATAGTAGGAAAAACAGTAAGTGGAAGTTGGCATTTTCAGAAGATAGCAAGTATTTTGTTTCTTCAACAAAACAAAAACCTTGGAGAGGTATTGGCATGGGCTAGTGACCACTTAGTTAAGTGTACTAGAAGGAATTTAAGCTTTGCATCTTTGACACATCCTTATATTGATATTCCACCATCCTTTGCAAGGCGCCTTTTTATAGAGTCCCCCATCTTATTTTGAGATAGAATTGGTTCCGGTTTCTCGTGATCTAGATGAAGAAAGCTGTTATTTACTAGGTAACCTGTTACTGTATATTAGAGTCAAAGATAGAATTCACACCTAGCTCTGCCAAACCCATGGTAAAATTATGCCTTTTTCCACTTTATTCATTATATCCCTGGTCTTTTTCTATTCATGTCTTGTGATCTTATAGACAGAATGGTAAATCTAACATTTAAGCATTTATTCCTTTATTTGTAATATGTTAGTATTTGTTTTATATGATCCACAGTTACCACATTAAGAATCATGTATGATATAAATAGATTAGTCTCTTAGGAACTATGCCACAGCTTTTAAAAGAATTCACACAAAACTAATTTTCTTACATTTTAAAAAAGCAGTTAATCTCACCATTCTTATTTTTAGGTGACTGGGGGATACGGGTGGAGTGGGACGTAGTCTTTCACTGCCAACAACCTAACAGATGTGGTATATGTGATTACTGTTTACACACTTCTTGTCCACCACATGCTGTATAAAGGAGGTATGGCTGCCTCGCTCAGCTTATAGGTGGTTCCCTTCCTCGCGATGAATGCTTCTGTTCACAGGGTTGAATAGCTATATTCACTCATTTCATGAGAGGAGTAAGTTTGCTGACATATTTAAGAGGGGGAAAGGGAGTAACCTTTTCATAGCATGGCCATTTAGCAGTGACTCATGGTTACTAAACTTGTTTAGAGTAATCTTGGACACCAGAAGGTTATTAATAGACTTTTCTTAGTCCATAATCGTTCAGCTTAGAATACTCACACATTTTCCTTAGTGAAGAGGTGGGGGTGGGGGAGGTAAAAAGCATTTATCACTCGAATTAATGTGATAATAAAAATTGTTCTTATTATCAAATACTTGGCACTAACAATATCTGTCAGTTCACTTTTAGATTCCATTTCACATCTGTGTCTTCATTTACTTTGATATAGAACTTTTATTTTTACAACAAGGTCATTTAATCTCTTCTTTTAGAATGTATTGATATTTCAGGCAGTAAATATAAATTGGTAAATATTTAGGGGCTCTTGTTTAAAATGATTCTTTTGCTGAAGATTGGGTTTAAAGAAACCCAAAAAAAAATTTAAGCCTCCCCGTTCCTCCCAAATCCAAGCTCTTTGAGTCATTTCTTTTTCCTTCCTTCCTTCCTTCCTTCCTTCCTTCCTTCCTTCCTTCCCTCCCTCCCTCCCTCCCTCCCTCCCTCCCTCCCTCCCTCCTTCCTTCCTTCCTTCCTTCCTTTCTTTTTCTTTCTTTTCTTTCTTTCTTTCTTTCTTTTTTTTTTGGAGACAGAGTCTATCTCTGTCTCCAGGCTTGAGTGCAATGGTGTGATCTTGGCTCACTATAACCTCCGCCTCCCAGGTTCAAGTGATTCTCCTGCCTCAGCCTCCCAAGTAGTTGGGATTAAAGGCATTCGCTGCCACACCTGGCTAAGTTTGTTTTTTTGTTTTTTGTTTTTTTCAGTAGAGACGGAGTTTCACCATGTTGGCTAGGATGGTCTCAATCTCCTGACCTTGTGATCCGCTCACCTCGGCCTCCCAAAGTGCTGGGATTACAGGGGTGAGCCACAGTGCCTGGCCTCTTTGAGGCCCACTGGCCGGCCTCCCCGCCCTCCTTCCTCCCTTCCTCTCCTCCCTCCCTCCCTCCCTCCCTCTTGTTGCCCAGGCTGGAGTGCAATGGTGTGACATTGGCTCATTGCAACTTCTGCTCCCCCAGGTTGAAGCAGTTCTCCTGCCTCAGCCTCCTGAGTGGCAGGAATTACAGGCGCCTGCCACCACACTTGGCTAATTTTTATATTTTTAGTAGAGATGGGCTTTCACCATGTTGACCAGGCTGGTCGCTAACTCCTGACCTCAGATGATCATCCACCTCAGCCTCCCAAAGTGCTGGAATTACAGGTGTGAGCCACCATGCCCACCCTCTTTGAGGCCTTTCTTAATAATAACTAGTTACATGTAAGTTAGAATCAATTCAGTTACGTAAACTAATGAACACAGGCAAGGAAAATTTTGTTACCTAGATCCCTTCAAAATTTTTCTAAAAAGATGACTTTATCAACATTGGTGCACGTTGGAGTTAACGTTTTTTTCATGCATAGGTGCCTTTTGTCATAGTCTACTGTACTTACTTGCATTGGCATCTCTTGCAGGAGATCCCCAGTTTGATTGAATCCACAGACCTTTTAGTGCCTCTCTGTGGGCAGATAGGCATAGGAGTCAAACCTTGTCTCTGTTCTTAAAGAGTTTATAATCTAGTAAAGGAAATACACATGTGACTAATGTAATATAGAGGGACTTGGATATGTGGATAAAATTCTGTGGGAATCAGAAGGGTGAAGCACTTACGTCTGTCAGAGACAGGTATAGAGATGACATTAGGTTTGAAGTGACATTTAAGCTGGCTTTTAAGGTTTTGGGCAGCAGAGAGTGAAAGGGAACGGAGTTTGAAACAGCCTAAACTATGGCATGTTCAGAAAACAGTGACAAGTTCAGTGTGACTTAAGGGGTAGAGATAAAGAGGAATGGTAGGAAGTAAGGCTAGAGATATAAGCTTGGTAGAATGACAAGGGCCTTATAGACAACCTAAGGGTATACTGAGGGGGAGTGCAAGTGGCCTTATGCTGTAAAAGTCTTCTTATGTGGCTTTGCTTTGTTTATTTTGAAATTCATTAATTCACAGGAAGTCACAGAAACGAGTACAGGAGAACCCACGTACGCTTCATCCATGGCCCCATGGTAACCTCTCACATAACTATATGCAGTGTCAAAACCAGAGCATTGACACTGGTACAGTCCACAGACCTTGTTCAGATTTCACCAGTTTTGCAATTGGTGTGGGTGTGGGTATAGCTCTATGCAATTGTATCACACTTCTGTAGCCACTGTTACACTCATAATATAGAACTGTTTTAATCACCAGCTCTCTTGCTACCCCTTTATAGCCAGACCCGTCTCCCCTATCCCTAACCCCTGCTGGCAACCACTAATGTGTTCTCCAAGTCTATATATTTTATTACTTCAAGAATGTTATATAAATAGAATCATATCGTGTGTAAACTTTTAAGATGAGCTTTCTTCCACTCAGCATCATTCCCATGAGATCCATGCAAGTGATTGTGAGTGTCAATAGTTCATTGCTCTGGAGAAATAAGTAGGTCGTGGTTCCAGGTGCTCTTTCTCCCTTCATCCAATTTTTTTTTTTAAGATAGCATTTTGCTCTTGTTGCCCAGGCTGGAGTGCAATGGCGCGATCTTGGCTTACTGTAACCTCTGCCTCCCTGTTTCAAGCGATTCTCCTGCTTCAGTCTCCCAAGTAGCAGGGATTACAGACATGTGCCACCACCCCCTGGCTAATTTTGTATTTTTAATAGAGATAGGGTTTCTCCATGTTGGTCAGGTTGATCTCGACCTCCCGACCTCAGGTGATCTGCCCATCTGGGCCTCCCAAAGTGCTAGGATTACAAGCATGAGCCACCGCGCCTGGCCCCTTCATCCACTTTTTTAGTTTTACTTTGTACTAACTAGTATATTGGAATTCTGCATTGGGTAGTGGGGAAGTCTATGTGTGTGTGCACATATGTGTGTGAGAAATATCTTTGTTTCCTTCATAGATGCTAATTTATTTCTGCATCTACACAAAGTCATGTTCTAATGTATATGTTTATTTCCAAAAAAAAGCAGAAAATACAAGACTATAAAGAAAAAACCTCATCCTTAATTCAGAACTATATGAAACGACTACTGTTAACATGGTGGGGATTCTCATTCCTATTCTGTCTCGCTCTCTGTCTCTCTGGGGCAAAGAAGTAAATGAGTATGGGGTCATGCTGTCCTGTAACCTGTTTGTTTTTTTTTTTTTTTTTTTCTTTTTTCTTTTTAAAGATTTTGGATTTATTAGTCTTTGATGGTGTCTTTTACCAACTTCAGAATCAAATTTCTACAAATAGTGGTAAAATTTAACTT